TTCTGTAACGACGGGAGACTAGTGCGCTAGGCTAGGCCCTATTGGATTTTTTTGAGTTACTATATAGGTGTAGGTGTTGTTGATACTATTGCGGTTTAACAAGTTCAGGTTCAATGCCATTGATTTTGATTGGAATTTGTTATATAATTTTATTTTATATTTTTAACAAATATACTTTTTGAAGAGCACATATTGGAAGGAAAAAAGAATTCTTTGTAGAGAAGGAATTGCCAATGCTTTGAGAGCATGTATATATATGCCTTTGGGCTTGTGACCTTATCTAACACACAGAAAAGGGCAATTACTATGCGATTTTTTTGAGGTATTTAGTTGATTATGGCTAAGTGGCAGAATCCCATGAGTCTAACAATGTGTGCAACTGTCTATTTTGGCTGATTGAGTCATTGTTTGTGTGTGTATATATATACATTATGAGTGTTGATAATTTTTTTTCCCCTTTTGCACAAGTATTTATATGAATTCATATCAGAAGTCAATGCATCTAACAGCCATTAGGATAAATAAATATATGAAATAAACTAGGAAATTGTCAGTTTTGCTTAATTCAGTTTTTTTTGAAAACTCAGTTATACAAAAGTTGTGTCAGTTTTTTAAAAATTTAGTTATAAAAAAGTCTATTTTCAAATAATTATATTTTATAATTCTCTGAAAATAACTATTTTCATATTTATAAAGCAAAGAGATCTTAATTTTTTATAAATGTTTTATAAGGTCTGAGAGCAAGACTTTGGGCCAAGACTTTTGAATCTTGAATTCAGGCACGGGCTTCACTTAGCTACTCTGGGTTGCTTGAGCAAACTACCAAGTTGGGTTAATTACCCAATATATACACACACACACACACACACACACACATAATGTCCTAGGTCTTAGGGGACACTTTTCTTTCCTAATTGGGAGGAGAGCTTATATTGTATGGGATACTATTCATTGGTGGATTAAAAAAATTCAATGTACGTATGATAAAATTGTGTTGATATCAAGAAAATAAGAGAATCTCTACTTTTAATTTGTGGAGAATTTAGCAATTTCATAAATTTAAATTTAAACAGCAAAAAAATATAAATTAAAGTCTATTTCGGAGCACTAATTGGACGTTATACTAAAAAATACACTTGGTATTAACTTTAAGTGATATGTGTGATTTTCTTTCAATAGATTGGAACTTGGAATTTTCTTGAACAAACTTTTTTCCTGTAGATGATTATGGACATAGTTCCAAGAAACTAGAGATTCATATGAGCAAAATCATATGCACAAAGATAAAGAACAAAACGAAGTATGCAAATAATCCAAATATATGGGAAGATAAACTAGAGATTCATAGATCTTAGTATGTACGTTTTTTTCAGAGAGAATGTAATTGCTCATTTATATTGCCTGCATTACCAAAGAAATAATAAATAAATAAATAAAATGAACCCCGTGGACAATTTTAACTCTTCCAATATACAGTATCTCTTACTTTGACAAAGCATCTATATTTAAAAAAAAAAAAAACCATCAACAAAACCTTGGCTTCGTTTGGATACACAGAAAAAAAAAAAAAAAAATGATAACGTTAATTACGAGAGAAAAGAAAAAATAACTATAATTTATATTTATTATGTTTGGATAAATAGGAAAGAAAATAAAGGAAGGATAATTTTCTTATTTGAATAAAAAAGAATGAATAATAAAAATTATCATCTTATCCTTTCCTGTGGCGTTAGTTTCTCTCTCTAGAACACCCACCCCACCTCTCTTGTGGCATTAGTTTCTCTCTCTAGATCCAAAACTTTCTTGTGGCGTTAGATTCTCAGGTTTGCTAATACCTAAGCCCACCACAATCCAAACCCACTAATACACTCTTTCAAACTCGTTAATGCCCTCGCATCCAGCAAGCAACCAATTCCACACAAATAAAAAAATGTGACGAAATTTGACACAGAAGTCTAAGCAAAAAAGGCATCAAAATTGTTTGATGAAAGAAGATACAATGGAAAAAAGAAAAAGGAAAACAATGCCCTGATGTCTAGAAACTCAGCTGTTTTTCTTCCTATCTTAGAACACCCACCCTCTCTCTTATCATCTTAAAGCTCCTCCTCCGTCTTCCAAGCCAGCCAAATCTGGCTGGCGGTGGAAAACAAAAGAAAGTCAAAATTTTCTTTCATAAATACATATACATATACATATACGTATGTATGTATGTATTTATGTGTGAATTTGTGTGTGTATATATATGTGTATTATGAATGAATTGTGATTGATGCTCTGGTGTGATAATGATTTTGTGGAATATACAGAAGTGTCTTAGAACACTCACCCTCTCTCTTATCATCTTAAAGCTCCTCCTCCGTCTTCCAAGCCAGCCAAATCTGGCTGGCGGTGGAAAACAAAAGAAAGTCAAATTTTTCTTTCATAAATACATATACATATACATATACGTATGTATGTATGTATTTATGTGTGAATTTATGTGTGTGTATATATATGTGTATTATGAATGAATTGTGATTGATGCTCTGGTGTGATAATGATTTTGTGGAATATACAGAAGTGGAGAAGGGAAAGCAGAAGGAGAAGGTGAACAATATGGTGAATGCTGCTTTTATCATTTGTTTCCTTTTCCTTCAAATCCTTTTCAATCCTTTATTTTTTACCCAGTTCTTCTCATCCAATCACAATATACACTATCATTCCTTTTCTTTTCTCTCCAAATCACTCCAAATCCCTCCATCCAAACAAAGCTTATCTGATCTATCAACGTAAAACCCAACTAACCACATCTGTGACTCATTCTTGGTAGAATGTGTATTCTGTAATTTTTACTATATTTGCAAATATGATGTATAGTAGTCACAATAATACAGTAATTATCATACCCATAAATAAGTAGGGGTAGCCATAGATCGAATCGGACATTAGGCATCAATCCTGATCCGATCCGCTCACAACGGATTGGAAGATTTTGAATCCGCCACCAATCCGTTAGCCAACGGATCGGATCGGATCCAATCTGCAGACTGAATTTTTCAAAATAGTCTATTTTCACCAATTTCAAATCCACTTACAAAACTGTATAACAGAACATAAATCAAACCAATTTAAATGCATAATAGGTGAGGCGACCGCTTTTCTCTACGCTTTTCTTTAATACTTTGATGCTACGTTTGGTGTGTAGGAATGGAATGGAATGGAATGCTCATTCCAACCATTCAATTGTTTAGTATGCAGGAATTGAAGGGCCATTCTAATGGAATAAAAATACATTCCACTAGTAAATTTATGGAATGGCCATTCCATTCCATAGTAAGATAAAATATTTTTGTAATATTCCCAATAAGCCCTTAATCACATTTTAATAAGGCAAAAATATTTCTCATTCACCAAAAATCTTTCACATTCCATTTTTCATGTTTATCAGCTTCTTTATTAGACGTGGTAAATGTCTTTCATCTTCCCTCTCTTCTGAATATACCCAGAGCTGTCATTGATAAAAAAGTTGCAGGACTTTCAACCAAATTACAAGTATTAATTTCTTTGTTTATTTATTTTTTATAAGTAGGTATTAAATCTCTTTTATCTTCTGAGTATATCACTTTTTTATTTTTCTTTTTTTTATTATTATTATTATTTTTTTTTTGTATCTTTGTGTTGAAACATTTTTGTAATCATCTGAAACCAAAAGTGGATTAGTTTGACTTTTGGACCTTTAGTCAAGTTCATCGTTGGATGATTGGAGAACCTTGCTTGATTATAATTTTATCAAAACTAGAATTTTCAAGAAATCTACAATAAAAAAAATTACACAAGTACTTGGAAATATTACCAGATTTTTTTGTTGGGTTGATGATTTATTTATTTACTTAACTTTATTTGAGTTGATCTTATGGTGCACGATTTTTTATATATTATTAAGATTGATATATATATATATATTATTTTTTAGCTTTTACATCAATTTCTTAGATTAAATATTCAATCACGGTGAGTTGGTTTAGTTATAATTTTTTATTTTTCTTTCCTCCAATGAAAAGGGCATTTTTGAGAAAAGACATTCCCTTCCAGATTTAACAATACTCAACCAAACAATAAAATGATAATAATCATTCCATTCCATAACGATTTCACACCAAACATTAGAATGGTAATACTCATTCCATTCTATTCTCATTCTCATTCCATTCAAATTTCATTACATTCCATTCATTCATACCAAACGTAGCATGAGTTCTTTCATCTTTGACTAAGTTTAGGTTTTGATTAAATGAAAAGTCTGTGGTCCACTGCTATTGATTGAGTAATAAATATTACAAAACTAATTGTATAATACATACTAAAAAAATGAAAACACAAAAAGAATGGTATGTTAGGAGTTCATATATATATATATATATATATATATATTACGGATTCACGAATCGGATCGGATTTTTGACAACCTAATCTGCCACCGATCCATGGGACTACGGATTCAATTTTTTTTGAATCCGCCACCGATTCATGGGAATGACAATCTGATTCAGTCTGTACGGATCGAATTGGATCGGATCAAATTCACAGATTAACGGATTTTTTGCCCACCCTGTAAATAAGATTCTGGCAGAAGGTGGGTAGACATATGGATCCATAATAAACGGAATAAATTAATCCTAACTGTACAATTTAGTTAGGCTATGGATCCACTTGAATACATGTGATTTGGAATTTGGTTGCTAACTTGCTTGACCAATCATGTGAGGGTCAACTGAGCTTCTTCAATTCCTTTCCCCCAATAACCTAGTTAGCTATTTCACAGATCCAGCGGGATGTGTTTGATGGTGAACATTACACCATACCCCTGGAAATGAATCTTTAATTTGATGCAATAAAATTAACCATAGCATGCCTGATCTTAATTTTGCATTTTTTTAAAAATATATAAAATAGTAACCAGGTTGAAAATTATAGAAAATTAAGTAGATCTACAAAAATAAAAATTAAGGCAGATAAAATACCTAAGTTGACCGGTACTCTAGACTTCAAACTTCAAATCCTGCACTTCGATTAGATTGCAAAAGACAGCCGATCAGAATCAGAGCAAACGAAAGATTGATAAGAAACTGTCCTAGTTAGAGATGAAAAATCAATAAATAAATGGGATTCAAAGACACCATACCTGCGCCTGAATTTTCCCTATCCTTTTGCAAAACTTGAGTTGCCAGCAAACAGAAAAAAAGTCGGTACATATTTTGGATGATGACCAACAAGTCAAAGTCAATATCTTTTACTGTATTGAGTTCACACTATGTTACCAGGGAAAGATAACAAGAAGTATTTTATTTTATTATTATTATTATTTTTTTTAGTACGTTAACACTCCTTGAGGTTTTGATCAACATCATTCAACGGACAGTCAACGTATTTTTTTACACCGCAATAGAAAAAAAAATTTAAAACAACCATAGTCAACCCATACTTATATGTCCAAAACACCACCTTAACCACCATCATACCAAAATAACACCATCAACACATCCAGACACTACCAGAACCACCACCATCACCATAATAGAAAAAATAAAAATTCAAATTTTGAAACACCTTGATAACCTAGACACCACCACACCACAACAACTACACCCAAACCACACCACAACAACTACCACCAAAGTTGAAAAAAAATTAAAAACAGCCATGGTCAGCCCTGACCAACCACAACAGGAAGGAAAAAAAAAAAAAAACCAGCCATGTACAAAATCGAGAAGAAAGGGAGGGAGTGTCGGCGGCTCCGTAATGAATTGAATTTAAAAAAAAAAAAAGGAAGTTAAAAATTATGGTAGAGAAAGAGGCTTAACGATGAGAGTAGTTTTGTCAATTAACCAGGTTTATATTTTGTAAATTAATTGAATTAAATAAATAGGGACAAATATGACATTTGAAACCACATAAGGTGTCATTGAAAAAAAAAAAAAAAAAAAAAAAAAGGCATTGACCCACGTTTGAATAACATTGACCAAAACCTCATGAAGTGTCAATGCAATTTACACTTTTTTATTATTAATCCGTATTATTACTATTTTTTCCGGCTACAAAGAAGGTTAAAGGGAAAGGGAGGAGACTTCAGCCTCAAGGGCTGAGACAAGTCAACTAGGCCAAACAAGCCACTGCAGATCACTTTGCTTATTATACAAGGCCTATTTGCCAATACTATAACCTATAAAATTACAACATGTATAAGCCTAATAGAGAGAAAAGTTCTTCTCGTATGCCAAGAGGATTTCACGCCATGTTTGGTGGAGCTTCCTGGAGCCTCAAAAAGTCTTTCCAAGTTTGAAAAGTCCATTTGAAAAAATTTGAAATGTTTCGTTACACATATCTAAAGGACTTTCTCGAAAAGCCAATGGCCAGAAAGTCCATTTTAAAGAAGTAAGAAAATGTTGCTTTTGAAACCTCATTTTCAGAAGTTAATTTTTTTTTAAAAGAATAAATTTGTTATTTTACTAATTTGCCCATGTACTTTTCATAAATTGATAAAATTGTCCTATATTCAACCACCACTACCATTGCCACTGCCACATTCCACTAATCACCTTCTGACACCACCACTCCATTGCCACTGCCATCTTCCACCATCACGCTCCACCACTACTGCCACCAATCATCACCACCTTTTGCCACCACCACCACCTTCTACCACCGCCATTGTGACCTTCCACCACTTCCACCTTCTATCATTATTATCGCTACCTTCCACCACTACCACTACCGTCGCCACCACCCTTAATTGCACTCATTCACCACTGCCACCACTGCCAACATCATTACATTCTACCACCACCACTCTCAACTACCACTTTCCACCACCACCACCAACATTATCATCGCCCTGCACCATTGCTGCCTTCGCCCTTTTATTGGGGGCTTACAATAATGGTTAAGGATGAAGTATATTATTGTCAATAAAAAAATAACCTAAAAGTTAAAAATAAATTTAAGAAATGCGTTCGTCAAACGTCTTTTTCTTATGAATTCTTTCCAACAAAAATTCCTTTCACGAAAGCCTTATTAATGAAGGACTTTTAATATGAGAAAGCTCCCCCGGGCAGTCAATATCTTCAACTAAGATTTTTGACAAAATGTTGGAGGGAGAGATATTACAGAGGTAAAGGCCTCTTCATGCTTCGTTTGGTTGGAGGGATGGAAAAATGGATGGAAGAAATAGGGAGATGGATGGATGAGATATCCCTAGGGAAGGTGTAACGATCCTTAAATGATACCAATTAAAAAAAAAATTCGACATGACCTCTGCTAAAAAGGGTCCTACCATAACCTGTTAAAATGCATAAAAAAAAAAAAAAAAAAAAATGTAATGGCCTCACTTGGCCTTAAACTAATTTGTCATATCCTAACGCACAATACAAATAATATAAAATATTCCCAAAATAACAACATACATATAAAAAGAGTCCTCCAATTTCTTCAAAAACATGGAAGTGTCAGTCCACTACCTAGTCTCATACTCCTTTACAAGGAACATACTCTAATTACATCAATTTACAGTCCATGAAATACAGCTAAAATCAAAAGTCCATAATTTACAACATTATACAAATTATACTAAAGTTTTACAGAATAGTCAAGATTTACATTTACAAAATATTCAAATTCTAAAACAAAAATAGCAAAATACAAATCTCCAATCACGTTTAAACTTGTGTTGTATTGTCATCCTCCACTTCCTTCTCGTGACCTGAAAAATGTTAAATATAAGGGGTGAGCAAATTACTCAGTAGGTGGTGCCTAAAACACACCTCTTGTGATCCCGTGAATCCAGGCAAGGAATAGAAATAAAAGGAAATGGGATCATGCTATACCGAGGAAGAATACTATACAATTACAAGGCTAAAAATAAATAATGTCGTGCCATGAAATGCCGTGCTATGTCGCTCCCCGTTTCAAAACCATCCGTCACTTTTCAAACTGTTAACATAACCCATCCCTTGGTAACTCCGCGGCCACACGAGAGAAGGACTGACTACTGTCATTGACCCTTGGTACCTCCACGGCGTCATTTAGGGCCTAGCTAGCTCAACAACGCTAGGGTGATTTCCTTAGCTCCCTCTAGGTTACATTAACGCCACGAACTTTTGGTACCTCCTCGGCGTCCGGATTTTCACAAAGCCACTTATCAAAAAAAACTTTCCCAAACCCCTTTTTATTTCAAAACAATTCTTTCCCATTTTTCCTTGCCTAATGCAATGCATGAAATGTGTCATAAAATTATACAATTCTACTTCAACAACCTTGCATGCTTGATAAGGAAATTCACACACAACATCTTATACTCATAATTAGTACAATTTTCAACAACAACATATTTAAATTAAGAACATAATCATTTAAACATGCATTTGTCATGTCGCTTCAACAAATCAATTATGCATACCATTTAAGCATGAAATTCACATAACTTATACAATTCAAGCTTAACAACTTACATGCTTAGTAAGAAATTTGATACAAAACCTAACACGCTTACACTTAGCACAATCTCAACAATCACACATCTAAATTAAAAATATAATCATTTAAGTATGTCTATATCATATTTCACCAACAATCAACATACACATCACTAAACATGAAATTTATATGAAATTATAACTCATACACATAACATCAAGACAACTTAGCATGAATTAATCACAATTTAACATGTTACACTACAAATTAAGAGAGAATAATTCACCAAAACACAGAGATTTTAAATTAAACACCCCTACCCCAAGAATGAAATTGAGCCCAAATTTCGAATTTATTAGGGTTGGCCAAATGAGAAATTGCTTACATCAATGTATAGATCTTGATGTGCTCTCCGTTTTGCCTCAAACGACACCCAAAAACTCCAAGGAATGAGAGATTAATTGAAGATTGAAGCTTTAATGTGGAAAAAAAAAAAAAAAAAAAAAAAAAAAATGAGAGGAAGAAGAGAGCATTATGGGAGAGAAGATGAAATGAGGCCAAACATGGTATCTTAGCCACAAATATGGTAGTGGTAGGTCCCACCACTAAAGGATTTTCTTTTTTATTTATTTTCCACCATAAAATTATATATATATGTTCCAATTATATCATGGCCACACAATTTAGCACTTAAACAGTTTACTTAGGTACAAAATAATAATGCATCGTATACAAATGACCTGAGACACAACTCCCGTACACAACAACTTTGGTAACGGGTCCTACCTGAGACTGTCCCGTTCGAAAAACGAAAAAATGTAAAAATGACCACTATTGCATTTCCAAGAGTTCTAAACTCAGAGAAATGCCCCAACCGACTCTCGAACACACCCGGCACACTCCACGGTGTCCGGCAAGCAAAAATGAGGAAAAACGAAAATACCCTTTAAAAAGTCAGAAAATGACAAATGATTAAATTGGAAACATTACAGAAGGGTGAGTGTATTTCCCATTTTATGTTTGGTTGAATAGAATGGATAGAATAAAGGATGAACGTAGTGATATTTTTTTCTTGTTTGGTTGGAAGGAAGGGAAGGAAAGTTATTATATTATTTTTACCAATACACCATTTTATATAAAATTATAAAAAGTAGATATTTATTTCAAAATTTTTGAAAAGGTTAAAATTGTAAATTATAAATTTGTAGGTAATTATACCTTTTTTCTCTCATTTCTTCTCCCCAAAAGTGGGCGGATAGAAAAATATAAAGGAATGAGGGATAACCCTAAACCTTAAACCCTAAACCCTAAAACCTTAGACACTAAACCCTCCTTGTTTCCTCCCTCTCCATCCCCCTCAATCCTTCCATCCAACCAAATATAGCATCAATGATAACCTTATGATAACCCCATTGAATTAAGAGAAATAGAGTAAGAACTCTTCTGAGAGCATGAGCTTCAGTGACCTCTGGCTTAGAGAAATTAGTCATGAAAATGGAAGTTGTCTTGATGGCCCTACCTTTGGAATCGTGAAGGATGAGACCTCATCCGGCCATTTTAAAGTGAATTGAGAACGTAACATCAACATTGAGTTTGAAGTGGAACTTGAAAAAAGGCACCCATTGTGATGGAGCACAAGGGATTTCAACCGTTGGAATTGCCTTTTACAATTTTGAAATAAGGTAAAGTGAAAGAAAAAAAAATCTAACTATACATACATAATGTGCAAATACTTCATTGATGTTAGAGTAATTTGTACTCACACTCCCTTATATTTGCCTTAAAGACAGGTATATATAACTTATGTATTTTTTGGACAATGACAACAACGACACCCAAA